CATATTATCGTAGCCACTTCACTCGACAATATTATTTCTTTTCCCAATTTTCTTGCTTTGCTAAAATTAGCATGCATGCTTGCGGAATGGGATGGAAGAGGAGGATTAGCTCAAGACAAATAAGCCTAGATAAGATAAACTCTCTATGCACACAAATCTTCGGGATTTTTTGAGTACTTAACAAAAAGTTTTCCCAATTTGATTCATTCTCACACCCTTCTTTTCCACTAAAGAACACGACTGTCATGTCATTTTGTGAAGGTCGAAGTAATAAAATAATAGGTTTTCAGGCATATTTTAGAGATTTTACAACACGACAAAGCATAATACAACATTAACGTAAACCCGGGAATATACATTTGTATAATCAACGCTTCTATTTTATCTGCCGGCAGCATTTCGTACTTCTGTTTTCCCAAAGAAATTTCCAATAAGGCTTAAGAAATCGCCACCAGGTACGATAACAGTACCAGGTACGATCACTGAAAATTAAATCTTGTAAAAATACCGTTTGGAAAAAGTATATTAAAACCAAAGGAATTACAACTCGGTTTTAATTTGTACCGGATGGTTGTCTTGTTGTAGTAGGAGATGGAGGTAGCTCGATACATCGCTGTTTCTCCATTTTAAAACCACACTTACACTGACAGCGACCCCTAAAGATGGAGGAAACATCATGAAAATCATCTGGAAATGCATTTATTGTGAAAGTCTTTTTCCCTCTTCCTAACTCTCATCCTCATTTTTTATTTGAAATTATAATATTTAGCATTTACCTAGATTATAAAGCATTTACCTGTAACATCCGGAATTCATTGGGCATTGTTTTTGGATGAAACAATGAGCTTCAAGTGCTACTGGCTTTAGGCAGGTTGTATCTCTGGAAAGTGCCTCCGATTCACAATCTCGTGTACAGGTTTGACTTGGATTGCGTAATGGATGCGTTACTGGATCGACAAGTGGATGAAATCCAGCCAAGCATTCACATTGTCCCTAAACAAATGCATTATTCTCTATGGAAATATCATTAGTTGGTGATAAATTCATGAAATATTCATCGTTTCTTCTTTCTTTAAAAGAGGTATCAGTAATTAGAAGGATGACTTTCTTTTTTAGCTTCGCCTTCTGCTATAAATTTTGAATCATTTCGCCAAACTTACCCTGTTGCATATCATACTTTCGCCACCACCACATTGTTCATTTGCAGTACATTGTGAGTTAAGTTGTCCGCGTGCCATACATGTACCATTAATATACAATGCTTTTGGTGCCATAGCATTACATGGTCGACGGCAGCACAATGATTGCGAAAATCCGCTATCTAAACCAATAATTTAGGTCATTTTAATTTTATTCTAAAATTTTTAAATTTTAAAACAAAATTGATTTATAAATTATGTTTTATTTTATTTCAGTGGAAAATTTAGTCCATCAAAGTTCAGAATATTATGATAAATGTATGATACAGTTATTAAGGATAATCTAAAAAGACTTTCTAAGTATTCAATAGGATAAAGTAAGATGGATGTTTGATGTAATAATAACAAAATAGTTTAATAATGGATACATAAGGGAAGTTTACCTGAAATACGATGACAAAAATGTGTATCAGATGGACAACGGATACTTGCGGTAGGATCACAAGAGTAATTAAATTCTGGTAACGTTCCTAGTGGGCATACTTTCGGACAGCAATGTCCCATAGATGATTCACCAATAGTTATGCATACCTGGAAGCACTTAACAGTAATTATATTTGAATTAATTTTACCTGGTAGTCATAGCACTAATAAGTGAATCGAAAAAAAAATGAAAATTAAATCAATAAAGACAAATGATGAATAAGTTTAGTTTTTTTACCTGTCCAAGTGGACAATCATCAGCACCATCAACGAAATTCTCTACCATATGTTGATTTGCTTTACGTATACATGCATTACCAGGAATGCCTGTAATTTGCATATTGCGAGAAAAAAAATCCCATAAAATATATTAATTGACCACAAAAAAAAAAAAAAAAGGTAA